TTTTGGGTTGTTTTTTTTTTTCCCTAGTTTGCTCAGGAAGTTACACGTTTTTCCCTGTGTTAAAGAATATGATTGCCTTTTGCATATTAGTAAATTGAAAGTTAGAAAATGTCAGAAGCTCCTGTGGTGCCTTAAGTCAGACTCTTAATATTTACACTTACATACCGTTTTCTAACATTCAGTTCATACTGATTTTTCCCCTGAACGATGTTTCTTTGAGTGTCTAGGCTGCAGATTCTTTTCAAACTAGTCCCACACTTGTGGACTTTATAAAATGTTTATTCACTAATGGAAAGGGGGAAGCCAATACTAACAGAGTCAAAATGGTTAGGCAGCTTCTGTGTTCAAAATGGCACAAAAAGGAGCTTGGACATGCTTGCACCAATGTTTAAGCAAATGTCCTTTTACTAGTGTGTCAACGTAAAACATTGTTCTCTGCATACACCAACTCATTTACCTGACACGCGATATTACAGGTGTTCAGGTAAAACACAGAATGGTGTTGGCTTTATTTCACTGCTCTGATTTATTTCGTTTTAATTAATGAAGACATGGATTCTTTATGTACCTTAAATTCTTGCTAATATCCCTGAGAATCTTCTGCAAGACTGGGCCCAAAGCCTAGGACACATTGTGACGTGGTGACTTACTTACCAATGAAAGGCAAATATATATTTAATAAAAACCTTTATTGTGGTGGTGTGACAGTAAAAGACTTGCTCCTCCAGGTGGATTCTACAACTGTTTGCTGTGCATATCCTAAGTGTGCAAATAGACAATACCATTATTGCCTGTTTCACAGAAGTTGTTTATTCAACCTAGCTTAATGACCAGGGTTGTTAAACATCTACGCTAAACCAGTGGCATATGCAGTCAATGAAGCAGAAAGGCTCTTGGAAGGTGTGATTCATCTGACCTACTTTGGCTGGCTGTTTTAGCACAAGATGACTCACACCCCAGGAGGTCCCTGTTTCTCTCTCCATTGGGAATAAGCGAGCTGAGGATGACTGGCTTGAAGATAGATATCTGCATTCCTTCACAGCCGTCTCGCCCTTGTCGTCTTTTTACTGTCTTGTTGGATTATCGTGCCATTTAGGCAGTTTGCTAACAGCCCACCTACCACTCTCGTTTAACACTCCTGGAGAAGAGATTTTTGCTTCAAAGAGTAAATTGAATCATCTGTGTCAGTAAGGGGTCTGTACCTAAAGTACCTGCTGGTTCTTAATGATTGTGGATGTAATACAGTGAAATCTTTCAAAGGCTTTAATGAAGGTCAGCTTAAATCTCACTCTGAATTACTGTAATTGAGATTCATTCCAGGTTTTGATTGGGAAACGTCATGGCAAATGTTTCTGAGAGAGAGAAGGCATGTAATACAGCAGTATGCTTCTTAATAGACAAATAGGTCTTAAAGCCCTATATTTATGCATGTCAGCTACTTACTAGTGTTCATGGAGTTGTGTGTTAATTCAGCTTGTGAGATTCCTGCTTCTGTGCCTTTCCTGGCAAGGAAAGCTGCAGTATTTTCCCAGCACACTGCTGCCAGCAAATGTCAGAAGTCTGTAGCTTTCGATGTTGTATATGCTCTTCCTTGTGGTGCCTTTTGCACGCGCAGTATTGCTTCTGCTTTGTTCATAGATTCCAAAGGCATCTATGTATTTCGTCTTCTACAGGAATCAGTAGAGGTGTTCCATGTTATAGAACCAATGCTCTAGAACTGGTGATTTGCCTTGAGCTGCTCCTGTAATGTTTCACTGGTTTCTGTCTCTACTATGGAAAATGGCTCCAGGCAGGCTTTTGCCTGGTACATGTACCAGATATCCAGATCTGGATAGCAAAACGTGCAGGAAAATGGCTTTCATCCTAAGTGGCTGTCACTTTCAAGTAAAAGAACACCTGTAAATTGTCTTAAAAAGAAACTCAGCAATTTTTTCTTTTGTCATTTCAATCACAGCCTTTTTATCTGAACTGCACTTTTTTCTTCTTCAGAAGAGGTTTCTTGTTATGTTTAGTATGCAAGGACATAGTTAAGTTCCCCTGATGACTTAAAATGTGGACTTCCAGGATTTATAGGCTTTCTTCTGTGATGACTATAAATTGCCCATTGACATGGAAAAGATTCAGAGGCCTTGAATATGTCTAATTATGTTTAACACGTGTGAGGTTGTAGGTAAAATCCCACCACAGTCCCTCTAAGTACAGACCACGTCTTTGTTTGGGCAGGCAGCTATACACAGCTGCATTAAATTCACAGTACATGACGTGACCGTCACTTCCTGTCACAATTAGAAATAACTCCAGAAGCACAAAATGCTCCAATACATTAAAAAGCTGAAGTAGTTACCAAGTTGGTCAAAGTGATTTATTTCTACATCTCTTCTCTGTCAGTGCAGGGACTGTAATTTACTGCGTATACACTGATGAAAATAGAGAGGTTCTACCCTGGCAGCTTTCTGGGTGCTATTGTAGTATTGAATGTTTAATAATAATTAGATTTTTTTAAAAACTGGCTTCAATTGCCAAATGAAAGTAAGACTTTCTGTCAGTGTAGCAATTACAGTCTGACACCTGACAATTTATCATTTCTGTATGCATTTTCATCAGGATAAAATAGAATTGGAAGTTGGCTGGCGGTTTTGCTGATGGCGCAGAAGGAATAATAAAATCTAATGTAAGGAATGTTGTATATAGTCTTGGAATTGTAACAAAAACTGAAAACACTTGTTTTAAAGAATTCAGTCTTCCTATGTTATCCCTATGCATCCATCCAAGTACCTAGTTAGGATTTGTTTGAAAAGGAAAACAATTTCATTTTGGTATAGCGCAGCTCTAGTTACAGCTTTGACTGTGCCTAATTTTCAGTGTTATTTCCTTTCAAAAATTCCGTTTTAACACTCACTGTTATCCTAATTTCCTCTTGTCCAAGCCCTAAGAGGTTGACAGAAATCTGCTTTACAGAAGCCTTATCTATTTGCATTGGAATGGTACCAACAATGTAGTAAGATTTGTCTTTCTTCTTCCTAGCCATCTGCCTCTCTCATTTGGAGTGGGAGCAAACAGGCAGCAGCAAGCAGAATTCCTTTGGTTTTCCTTCATCTAAGCATTTTGACTCATGTGCTTCAAGTCCGTCTTGTGCTGGAGCTTTCACCACACCCGTTTTGTCTCCAACAGGTTACCAGTACTTTCATTATTTCTTTGCCTATGTCGCCCCTCCGATTGAATGTCAGTAGGGACAAAAAGAGCAATGGAGCAAGCAGGGATTGGAAGACCCAGCTCTTCTGTGCCATTTGAGATGTCTGTCTTATTGTGCTCCGGTGTGTTTCTTGCACTGAAAACTTACTTGAATTGAGTTAAATCACTCTTCTTTACGTTTCTTTGCTATTTCAGCTCTTCAGCCCTCCTTATTGCAGGCATACCTCTTGTATTTCTTATGATCCGTTGGTTTGCTTCTGCTTCTGCAGCTTTCAGTTGAAATGTTTCAAGCCATGGAAAAGAAAGGTCACCAACTGAATGTGAGCATGAGGAGTGCAGCAGGTGATACATACCATTTCTTAGTGATCAGCTCTGTCATCAGAGCTTAGATTTCTCATAGGCTAATTATTTATTTCTTGAAGAGCACATCTCATTATGAACATGTTCATAGAATCATAGAATCATGGAATGGCATAGGCTGGAAGGGACCTCAGAGATCATCCAGTCCAACCTCCCTGTCATGGGCAGGGACGCCTCTCAACTAGACCAAGCCACTCTTTAAAAAACACACAACATCCAAAAGTAGGACAGCACAATGATTTTCTCTCTTGCAAGTTTTAATGAACTAGGCTAAGGTTTAAAAGACGTCTATTGTCATATTAGTATTGTAAAGCATATTCCAAAGGGCCTTATTTGCAGTGTTGCGTTCTCAGTTCTTTTGAAGTATTTCAATTTGGGCACTGAAAAATGGAGGCACCCAGGAACCATTGGTTGTTTTTCGAAATCTTGGCCTTCTAGACTTAACTTTAAAGGACAAAACTACAAACTGTTCTTGTGTTGTGGTGCGTTGCGTTTTGTTTGCACCTGTGCTGGTGTAGGCTGACTTCCTGAGGTCTCACAGGCAGGAGTGTTTCTCCATAGGCATCTCCAAAAAGAAGCAGGCTGTTGGCATAAGTATGGTCAATACTTCAGTTAACAGTAATTTCCTCATGGCGTGATTGAGATCATCTGATTCGTTGTAGCACACTAAACTGCTGTCTTGCCACTTACAAGGGTGAGAGTCATTCTGCACATCGTGTGATGCACACTGTCATCTATCAGTCCTCTGCTAGCTTCTGCTTCTGGTCATGCCTTCTAAGGCAGAAAGAGTCCAGTTTCCATGGTGCTTGTCAGCTGTCTGGCTACCCAGCTAGTATACAGGAGTCATCAGTGGCCAAAACATTTTTTCCCACAAAATTAAGTTTTAAGTGACTGAAAAAAATGGTGACTTTAGCGTCTGTAATTTTTGTAATACTCATCTTACTTTAATCACTGTCTTTCTTTTCTCGTATACTCGTAATACGTGGTATGCTCTGATTGTTACTGTTGTGGGTACAATTTAGTAAATGACTGTTAATCATTGAGCAGTGAATCAAAATGAAGAACTGATTCAGAATTTCAAATAACACATCTCAGGCATATTCTTGTTTCGAAAAGGTATTTCTCGGGCATCTTCCTTTAGATGAAAAATTAAGACCAGTGTCTCCTCTACATTTGTGTGATTCTGATGATCTGCTAGAGCGTTATTAAATTTTATGAAATGTCTGTCTTTTTTTTTTCATGGAATTAATTTTATTCACAAGGTAGAAATACTTCTGTTGTTTTTAAGACACTATAGTATCTATAGAGAAAAAATATAAAAAACCATGGCCAAGATGATGTAATTACATAGGAAAGATGCTTAATCTGAAAATATATTCTTTTTTTTCTTTATTATTTTAATAAGATAAATGCAATAGCCAATTTATTGACTTCTCTATATACTACAGGCAAATGCTTGAAATCTCAGTATTTGAACTGAGAAGCACGGTAACAGAGCTAGAAAAAAGACTTAGCAGTGTTGAAGATGAAGGTAAGTGAATTGCAACAGTCTCTTGCTAATTGATTAGGAAACACAGAAAATTAATTCCTTTGGATAGGCCCTACAGAGATAAACATTTTTGTTTAGAAATTTAAGTTTTCCCTTTTCAAACATGACTGTTACAGGTGTGGTGTTGCAAATGTGAAATTAAGAAATACTACATGCTGCATGTTAGCCTTTTTTGTTAATTATTAATGAAACTATGAATAACATGAATTTGTAGAGTTGGTTAATGTTCTGGCCACAGTAAGCCCAGTGAAAAATTTCCTTGATTTATATTTTCAAGCTCTTTTATATGCAAAAATTCTCATTATGAGGATTACTAACTGAAGACTTTCTCAGTCTCCAGAAAAAAGTGAGAACAGTTTGAAAAAATGCTAACTTTTACTTGAAATGGCATGGATTAATCTGGGAAACAGATTAACCCTGTATTTCTTTTTAAGGTAATGAATGGAAAACCAGATATGAGACACAAGTAGAATTGAACAAACAGCTAGAAAGGCAAATAATTATTCTTCAAGAGAAGATGGAGCTTATTCGTGGCAATCCAGCAGGTAGAAATGGGTGGGGTATTCATCACTGTTTTTCAATAGAATTATTGATTATAAGTTGAAGTTATATCAATGGGTCAAATTTTCTGCTTATTTGTAGATAAATTGTCCATTGTTCGCACCTTTGATCAAATGCCTGTGGTGAGTTTATTTGGTTAACAAAAAATTGCAGTATAATTGAAGAACTTGTATAATCTTTGATTTTTCATCACAAAAATACCAGCAACCTGATCCAGAAACCAAAACAACCAGTCCTGCTTACTTTCTTACTTTTTTATTGTTTCAAATATGCAGTTGCTTGTAAATTTATTAAGTATAGAGTAAAATCGTTAAGTAGGAGGTACGTAAGACCTGCATGTTGGGAAGAATCATGTAGTGAAATTCTTGACTTGAGTGAAGGTTGTGTGATTGGACCTGCAGTAAGACATAGGACTGTCGTGGTTTAGCTCAACCGACAACTAACACCACCCAGCTGCTTGCTCACCCTCCCCTGGTGACTGGGGAGGACTTGGCCCAGGAAATCCATGTCTGTCTTGTACTGGGAAGCCCCGAACTGGACCCAGCACTTTGGATATGTCTCACTAAGGAGCAGAGACAGTTCATCTCCGTCAACTTGTTGGCAACGTTCTTCCTAATGGAGCCCAGGTGGCCACTGGCCTTCTTTGCAGCAAGAGTGCATTGCTGGCTTGCGGTCATTCAACAGGACCCCAAGGTTGTTCTCTGCCAAGCTCCTTCCCAACCAGTCAGCCCCCAGTATACACTGGTGCCTGGGGTTATTTCTCCCCAGGGGCAGGACTTCGCATTTGCCCCTGTTGAACCGAACTTCATGTAATTCTTCTCTGCCTGTTTCTCAAGCCTGTTGAGGCCCCTCTGGTGCATCAGTCACTAGTTCCAGTTTTCTATCAACTGTGATAACACAGATGAATATTTACAGTTACATTTTTCATAATATAGTTACAGGAAAATTCCTCATTGTACCATAAATACATCATTTTTGCACACTGAAGGAAGTTTCTGGTTTAATTTTGAAAATTTTGAAAATTTGCACTTGTATTTCACCTGTATTTCAACAAAGCATAGAACATTTTCTGTGATCTCGAGGAGAAAATCGCAAGAGAAACCAGCAAATATTTTTACCATTTAGTCATCTAGAGTAGTAGAAGCGAAAACAATTTTAAATTTAGGACTGTTTTTTCCATAGTCTGTCATCTACTGGAATCTTTTATTTTGAGACCTTTTCTGCTTTTTACCCACTTTTAGAGACAAGGTAGATAAAGATGTGGTAATGTCTTGTAACATAAGCAGGAATAATGAACACTATGAGGCAGGGCTCTTTTATGATTTTTATTCCAGTTGCTTATGCTTACAGAAGTGTTTCCATCATCTTACTTTTTTGTGCTTCAGATTCTGAAGATTAATGGGAATTTACTGAGCCTAGAGGAGACTGCATGCCCTCTTAGTGGGAATGATTATCTGTTGCAAGCAGGATGTGAATAATGAACTGTTCTTTCTGATCTGATCCATGAATTTCAGATAGTAAACATTCTTGCCAGTTTTAGTACTGTCCTAGAGATCATGGTGTTTTCTAGGTTGACAGGATGGGTTTTTTTAAACAGTAAATTAAAATAGAACAAAATCCCATCCGACTTTCCTGTTTCACAGAGTTGATCTGAAAATACAACTGAGATTATATTTGAAGAAAAGTCTTGAAGGCAGAACATGGATGTCGAAAATTTACCATAGAGTCTTCTTCAGACAATGTTGTTCCTTTCGACTTGTAAAGCACAGACTGGCATGCGTGCTGACAGCATCAGAAGTGTTTATTTCCATCCAATTGCTAGTGCTCTCTTAACCAATCCACTTACACCTTGCCAGGCGCTCGAAGAGTCCTTACCAGTGAGATAATCTCCTTTGCCAGCAGCTATGTTGCACCAATCCAGTACGTTTTTAATCCCTACTAAAAACTGCCTTGCCTCCTCACGGATGAGCTGTGGTTCTGAGAGGTTTGATTACTTTTCCCACAAAGGAAAGAATGACAGCACAACTGAAAGATTCGTACTGCAAGAAGGAATCTAGAACTAGAGAGTTTGGATCATTCTAGATTTACTTAGTGACACCTAGGGAAGTCTGGAGCACATGTACCATGTGCAGTTTTAAGTATTTCCTCCAGCTTTCCAGCTTAGAATGAATACATTTTTCTGTTTGCTAGACAGAGGAGAAAAAAAAGTGCTTAGGGATCTAGTGGAATATTTCCTTTTTCCTTGTTTTGATTTTCAGGAGATGGAAAAAGGGAAAGAACATGAATGTATTTTGTGGGCTTTGCTGTTTTGTGGGGTTTTTTTTGGTTTTTTTTTTCACTGAAGCTACTCTTTTCAATTTTAGGAGACAAAATACTGGTAAAAAAAATACACAGATCATTTTGTAGTGTTTAAGCATATAGATTTATCCAAATCCTTTTTATATTTTGAAGAGTTGTTCAGGGGAGTATGGGGGAATATTTAGCTTCTCCACAGATGAGAATGAAGAGCAGATGTGGTGAGTGGGTGTAGAAAAATGAGAGCTTTGCAGCCAGTCATCAATCTACATTTGCTCAAAGTAAAAATGCTGAGAGTGGGCATACATAAAATCGTGTACGTGTGTGTTAAATCAAAAGTACACTATGATATTCAGCTTTCAACTTCCAGTTGCATATGAAGCTCTGTGGAAAGATAGCAAAATGATTCTTCCAAGATGATACAATTCCTAGAATATGGCAATAATAGACAGTAGATTTTGTTTTGAGCAACGTATTTAGAAAATTAAATAGTATTTGAAGTCTTTTTAACCTGTGTTCCCAAGGAAGTTAGAATTATACAGTTAGAGTAATTAGAAGGACCTCTAATAATTCTTAACCTCCTAAGCAATTTCAGCTGTATTTAACAGAGGAGATATCTCAAAGATACTAAAGAGATTTATCTCACTCAGCTAGTCATTTAAGGTCCTACCATAGTCAATAAAAGGAGAAAAACATGTCCATAGAGTAATTCATCCCATTTAGAGATAGGTAGCATAAAATATTTTCTTGGTATCAAGCACTGTAGAGAATATAAAAAAAGATTAGTCATTAGGGACCCCAGCAGTCAGCAAGCTATAAAAACCTCAATGAAAGAGAAGGATACAAATGCAAATTCTGGAGTGATGAACAAGGAAGCACAGAGGATTTTCTGTGTTGATAAATTGCGATAATCGTTGCAGATGGCTTGCACTATTTTTGCTTTAGAATTAGAATTGTACTGATGAATGATTCCTTGCTATTAAAAACACCCCTAAACCATTTAAATATACAATTATCATTCTGAAGTCCTTATAGTGACTTGAGATAATCCTTTTTTTTTGTTTAAAAAAATCATGATGGTGTCACATGACAGTAAATGCAGAACGAGTACCTTGAACACAAAAATTTTTACAGCCAGGGTTCAGAAAATCATTTTTGTGTGCTGAGGATGGATTAAAAATAACCTAAACAGTGACAAGCACAAAGGAGTTCCAACAGTGTGAACTGTTCAGTCAGTAATTTTCTTTATGTCCCAATGAATAATACGAGTGTCATACAGTACTTCAGAAATAACTACTGAAGGAGTGCCTTCTCTCTAAAGTATAACATGATGTGAATTTTACTTGCCCCTCTTAAACACACTGCATTCGTTTGTTCAGATTTTTTCATTAAATGATTTTTGGTGAAATACATGCTTTCTGCTAAGCATAATTTCCTATATAAGCAGAAAGAAAATTATTCCTTTCTCTCTCACCATTTCTGCAAGAAAGAATCCCTAGATAGCAGCTTTAGTATGCAAATACTGAAAAGCATAGCGCAAAATCAGTTCAGCAGAGCACACTCCTGATAGCATTGCCTTAGCAACATTCTAGTTAAGATTAGCCAAGGAACCAAGGTTTCTGTGATAAATCACCGTTTTCCGGAATGTCCAGCACCACAGCTGAGAAAATTCTGACATTAAGGGCCAGATATTTGCTTTGCAAAGCTGCCTCTCTGAGAGCACAGCGACCACAGAACTGAGACCCTCACACAACCACCTCAGGGTTTTTGCTGTCGGTTTTAAATGTGTGGCAGTGTCACACTGGAGAAGGCGTTGGCAACAGAACAGGAGGGGAATCTTGGTTTTATGAAAACACGGAATGAATTATTTGTATTTCAGTAGGTGTTGGTAACTGCCTATAGGGAACATCTGCACTTTATAATGGCACAGGAAATGTTGACAATTCTCCTAGCAAGTCGCTGGTATATGAACCTTGTTGCTTTTGCTGGATTGAGTCACCAGTAGCTCTATGGGAAGAAGAAATCTGGTATCCTATCTTTTTGTGAAACTTGGAAGTATTTTGGAGAAAGTTCTGTAGTCTGGTCTGACTGCCCTAAGCTGTTTCCTGCCTCTTCACAGCCTACCCCTTCCTACTCCTTTCATCTGACCTCGGACAAGTATTTTGGATGCCTCCAAGAAACATTTTTCATTTGCATTTTTTCCTTTCCTTGTCATGTTGGTATTAGCTGTTTCTCCTGGTGGCCTTGTACAAACCAGCAGACTATTTTACTCAAATCACTTTGTAGTATTCCCAGAGGCAGAGTACACCTTGTATTTCAAAGAAAACAATCAGGAAAAAATCTCACAGTCAAGGGACATTATTAGCTGGCTCTTCTCAAGAATTCCTTGGCAATTGACTGGGACACTGGGATATTTTCCAGAGAAAATGTACAAGGAAGCACTTTCCAGCCTTTTTCAGGCCTACCAGGAGAGATACTAAATGAGATGTTTCAGAGTCAGCAACAACTTGTTCTGTCATTCTGAAATGCAGCAATGGAGGTCTCTGTTTTAACTCCTTTCTCCCCGTGTCAGTAGATGACCTCTATGAGCAGTGCTGTGGAGACCACTGACGTGAGGATTTAGAGTAGCAGTGTCCCACACCTGTTACACTGAAAGAGCCTGAACTTTCCAACAAATTTCCAGGCTGATTTCTTTACCCTGGCCATTGCCAATGTCTGGTGTGAACAGGACACACTGCATTTAAACTGCAAGAGGATAGATTTAGGTTACATACGAGGAAGAAATTTTTTACAATGAGTGTGGTGAGGCACTGGAACAGGTTGCCCA